AGATCTCAACCCAATAGAGCATCTTTGGGATGTGGTGGAACGGGAGATTCGCATCATGGATGTGCAGCCGACAAATCTGCGGCAACTGTGTGATGCCATCATGTCAATATGGACCAAACTCCCTGAGGAATGCTTCCAGCACCTTGTTGAATCTATGCCACGAAGAATTGAGGCAGTTCTGAAGGCAAAAGGGGGTCCAACCCGTTACTAGCATGGGGTACCTAATAAAGTGGCCGGTGAGTGTATGTGTGTGTGTGCATACTTTAAGATGTATGAATGTATGGGCCAATGGCAAAGAAGGATGTCCAAGATGATTAAAAGTTTTTTTAAATCCATGTTTGGTTTCATATGAAAATATACTATTTTCTACAACTATGATTTAATGACTTTGAAAATAGAGTACCTTCAATACAACATGTGAGTGTACATTACACCGTTTATTTATTTATTATTAAAACAAAAATCTTTGATTCAATACATTTTATTTGACAAAAAGCTTTTCAGTCAGTCACGTGACACGCGAGAACCTATGGACGTCAAATTGGAGACCAAAAGGCGCCAAATTTGAATTGAACACGAGCGCGAAGATTTGACGGTAACGGCTACTTTGGTTTCACACAAAACTATTATTTGACTAAATTAAATACATCACATGAGTCATGTGAACTGTTTTTATGATACATTTATTGTACTTTTTGTTGTCAACGTGTCTATCCACTGTCATTTCATGGAAACGAGCAGCTGGCACATATTTTTCCCCTCAGAAGAACGACATGAGCGGTGAGTAAATGACGACAGAATCTATATTTGATTTTTTTTTTAAAAATAAACTAATCCTTAAAGAAAGAAACAATCTGCTTTTAATTTATTTCACTATAGTCCACTTTCTAACAACACATCTGCTCTGGTTTGATCGATTCGCACCCATTAATTCAGTTGATAATTGTTTAGAGTCGGAGTGTTACGTCAGTTTATTCTCGGCATGTGTTTCTCATTCATCCTCTTTCTTGGCTACAAAACAACTGACCACAAATATGAATGTACTGTCGTTTTTCATCCATTGTTTCTAACACGTATACATGTCATGAGCCATGTAAAAACATCGAATAAGCTCAAATGTAGGAAAGTCTTTTGTCTTCTGTTTTTCTCAAGGCCAAATTCCTTCCAAATCCCCTCTAATGGAGATGAAAGCGTCAGAATCCCAAACCCTTCAGAATCCCAAACCCTTCAGTTGTGTTTGGGTCTGTATGGATTTGTCTCCAGGGAAAAATGATCCCAGAGATCCACAGATTCCCTCAGAGAGGAACCGCATGAATCTTGCTATCATATCAGGTTTAATCCTGTCTAGTTGTTATGTAGATCAGTAAATCTAGATGGCACAGAGGAGAAGGATCGAATACGGATTTGGAGGATTACATTATTCCCGAGAGCTTGTCCTAAAAAAAAAGGGTAAGTTTTCCTGTGAAGGATCCTGGTCAACCACCAAGACAGTTTAAAGGTGTTTACAGCTGAAACACAAAACTCAGACACATGATTTTTATGAATATATTGACCATAGGCGTTTGTTCTGATGGGAAAAAATGCTAAAACTTTGGTCTCGTTAAATCAGGGTTCGTACAGATTCTGTAAAATGAAATTTCAGGACTTTCAAGGACTACAATTAGCACTTATCAAACAATATCTTTATTATTATTGTTTTTTTTTACTCTAAAAAAAAAAAGAGGTATCTTCCACTTCATAGAGATCAATCCATTGACCAGCGCTGCCAGGCATGGGAAACTATTCCTTAAACTTCCTTATTAAAACAGATTTTTTCCATGAATATATGCTTGACCTGAAGAATGAAAGCTGTATTATATAGCCTACATAAACTTAATATCATGCTCAAGCTCTATATCTCAGACAGGCTGCAGTGTCAATTTTGCGAAAAATGTTCAATAATACAAACATTTATCAAGTACCTCTTCAAAAATATGGCCATTTTTAAGAGTTTTAAAGGACTTACATTTAAAAACGTCAAGTACTTCCAGCCCCCAGTTAAATGTTTTGGTAGCAACAGTGCCAAAGTATAAAAAATGCGATGCTTCGAGACCCATTTAACTTGAGATTTTAACCCTTTTCATTAATTCCAAAATATTAAATTGGCTTACTTTAAGTGAAATCATCAAACTCTTGTAGTATAATAAACATATTAAAGTCAGTTATCTCTTTTTCCTGTGCATTATTAGTAAAATGCGGATGTTTGGCAGAAAAATCATTCAAATAATGTGCTGTAAAACTAATAAACTTTAATACTGACTGAACCATGGCCCTGTTGAACAAAGTGCGCCACCAGGTGGTGAAGAAAGGAACTTCAAAAACATCAGTTAAACAGAGTTTAGTTTGACAACTTCATGCACAAAAAGCAAAACATGTTCACAAACAAGTGAAAAATAACAGCATTGAGGATATCACATACGACTAAAATACTGCTTAACATAACATACATTTCCTTGAGTTG